GGGATCATTAGGGAGGAAGGCCTCCCTAGGACACGGCTCGAGTTGTACAGGCAACCTGGACACGAATCGCCCCACGAGAGACAAGGTAATCCTGCCTCTCGTGACAGCCGGTGCAACTTGTGTTGCGCCCCGACTGGGTTGCGTTTCTCAAACCTGATGCGAGCTGCATCAAGTTTGTTGAATCAGGCCTCACGGCTCTCATAGCTGCTATGCAGCTGGATCCTCTTCCAGAGCAAGTCAGTGTCACCATTTATATGGAGGGCCTTCGCACGAGGATAGCGAGGACGGAATTCTTTCGCGTCCACCCCTCAACGTATAAGGAGGCTTTAGACATAGCGTTGAGTGATGAGTTCAACTTTAAAGCCGCTCGCTATGGCGCTCATGGTCATACTCAAAGATCAATTGATGGGTTGAGCCCATTTATTTCCGCCATGCTGAAGAAGAAGAGAGAGATCTCCTGGCTGTTGATTAGCAACTTAATGTCCGTTGATGTAACATGAACGGGAGCACCAAGCACTTGCGTCCTCAGTGCCCACTGCGGAAGCAGCGTCAAAGTCGGCGGAGCCGCAATCCGCCATCTAGCCCCTAAGTGGTACGGAGCGGTAAAACGGCAACTCCCAGTAGGCGCGAAGCGCCCTAATGGGGAGGAACTAGGTTCTGCCGAATCTTCAGATGGTAGAGATAGATAGGTCTTAGCCCCAGACGATCTCGTGGAAATTTCCACGATACGTGAGTATAAGCCAGGGATGTTAGTGGTCTCGGCTACAATTAAGGGCTTTCAGGAGCCGCAGCCAATATTAATTGACTCTGGAGCGTCATGAAACTATGCTCGACGCCAGTCCCTAGAAGGATGTCAGCAATACGCTGAGGCGGTGAAAGCGCATGAGGGTGATGTTATCACTGTTCGCTTAGCGACAGGTATTCGTGTCACCGTTCCTAAAGTTCCGTTGAACTTAGGTGTGAAACTTTTAAATTCCGATATTACCTAACGCTGTCTTTTCCTGGGTTTGGACTCGAGATTTGATCGCATGCTTGGCATGGCTTGGCTTAAACGCCACGAGCCATGGGTTGATTTGAGGTTGAAGACCTTAGGCGCAACGCGCAACGTTCCTAGTGAATGTTTGGAGAGTCACGAAACCCCCTTTGCTAGGCAACAGAAGCGCTATCGGCGCGCGCCACGGACAAAGTCTGTCAGTGTACTTGACATTGGAGTGTTTGAGATAGTTAACTCTGATGTCATTGACATTAGTGAAACTTCACGTATTAGTAAAGTGACACTAGCAATGACAGTGAATCACTGAATGCTGGAAGCATTCATGGCTTGAGGCCGAGTCATCCTGGGTGTGATCCCTGTGATGCGCGCGGAGTGGCACGTAAACATCCACAGATTGAGGTCGGCCGTGATGGCACCCCACTAATTGTCCGTGATGACATTGTTGGCGATTCGTTAAGGCATCAAGAGCTATGATCAACGTATGTATGTGGAGTGGCACGTGAACATTCATAGAGTGAGGTCGGCCGTGATGGCATTCCACTAAATGTCGGTAATGACATTGTTGGCGATGCGCCAAGGCATAAAAATCTATGCTCAACAGATGCGAGTGTAGTGGCACGTATAAATCCACAGAGTGAGGTCGGCCGTGAGGGCACCACACTTAAAAAATGTCGGTAATAAAATTGGCTCTCAAAGAGAGCAGGTCGAGGTTGAAGATAATTTTCACCTCGTGAAACCGAATGTTTCTAACGTGTTGACGTGTTCAGTTTCTATACAGAGACGACAGCGACGCCAGATGGCGGCTGTGAAAAGGAAGGCTTTTGCCATAACCCAGAAGGACACTAGTGAACAGTTGTACACATTAGTCAATGGGGTGTCGGGTGCGATTAATGAAGAAGTTGGCATCGAGGCCCTCCCATCGATATATGCTCTGCTAGAGCTAGACGAAATGTCTGTAGAAGAATTTTATCAAGCCTTAAAGGCTGGTGCTTTGTCCGATATGGTGGTCCTTAGACCTGAGATTAAGCTGAACTCGTCATCCCTTGTAGATGAGACATAACTTGAGGACATTAAAGTTGCACTCAGTGCTCGCAGTGGATCTGCTACCTTGAAGGATCCTTCGGATCCCATTTGTCTTTTGGTAAAGGAATTTTAGGACGTGGTGTATCATGATATACCATCCACTCTGCCTCCCGACAGAGGTGTGCGCCATGAAATTGACCTAGTCCCTGGGACCAAATATTGAGCTACACGCCAATGGACATTGCCTAAGGAACAGTTTGACGTCATTGACGAGTTCTTCCGTGCAAGGCATGCGGCAGGCATGGTGCAAGAGGGAAAATCTCCACACTCGACACCGACATTTTGTGTCAGAAAGCCCAATAAAAGGGGCGTATTGTGCACGCTTATAACAAGCTCAAAGCGGCCACTACACCTACGCAGACACCTAATCAAAGAAAGGATGTTCTTTAGAACGCTATGGTGGGTTGCACCATGTTTAGCGCACTCGACTTAGTCGTTGATTATTACCTACTGCTCATGCGAGCGAGTGATATCCCGCTCACAGCGGTTAGCACACCGAGTGACATGCTTGGGAGTGGCTTGTTGCGCCTCAGGCACCCCGCAACCTTCAATTGTCTCGCTAAAAACATTTTTTTCGCCCTCACAGAGATCGTGCACAAAGCTATTTCGATGACATCATTTTCCATAGCCGTGCAGAACGAGGAAGATCAGATGTGGAAAATCACAGTGACCATTTACGAGAAGTTCTCGGGTGCATGCGCACAGACAAGTTGTATGCAAATGCATCTAAATGCACTTTTGGTGCTGATGAAATCCCTCTTTTAGGGTTCTTTATTGGAAAGCGTGGCCTAGGGCAAATCTCGCTAAAATCGAATCCGTTGTGGATTGGCCGATTCCGTCTAACCCAACAGACTTGCGTAAATGGCTTAGTGTAGCCAATTACTTACACAAGTATAGTGCAAACTATGCTGACATGGCACGGCTGCTAACCGAACTTTTAAAGAAGGACGCAGTTTTGGGTTGGGACACAGTCCAGGCACAAGCTTATTAAGCTGTTAAGGAGATTCTCCTTCAGGCTCCAATTTCGACTTTGCCTAACCCGGAGAGACCTTTTTCTGTCGTCTGTGACGCATCTTATTTTCGCCATTGGCAGTGCATTGTTGCAAACTGATGTAGATGGAAATGAGCGCGTCATTGCGTATGAGTCTCGCCAGCTAAAAGCTGCTCAAAAGAACTATACAGTTCATGAAAAAGAGTTACTTGCAATGAAGTATGCTCTTGTCAAGTTCAAAAAACATCTACTTGGCTCCAAGCCGTTTGTAATCTACATGGATCATGCGTCGTTGTGCACTGCGACCCAGTCGCCTCATCTCTCGCAACATTTGGCCCGTTGGCTTTCGTTATTCGCTGAGTGGAACTTCGAAATGAAGTATAAACCAAAGAAGCAAAATGCTTTGGCCGACGCGTTACTACGCAGGCCGGCTTGTGATCTTGCTCATGTTACGACTCTGTCGTCTTCTATCCCTAATTTAATCCGTGCGGCTTATGCCAAGGATGATCAGTGTGTCGCGTTGTTACGCACACTCAGTTGTGATGAGTTTAAAGACTCGGAATTTATTTTGTCGGCACGCTCGCGTGCAGGGATACATAGATTTTCTTTCGATCACGGCCTCTTGTGCTGTAGCACGGATGCGGCGGATTCTCCGCGCATCGTCGTACCTCATGATGAGGAATTGAAGCATTGTTTCTTATTTGATGCGCACGATAAAGCTTTAAGCGGTCATCTCGGTCAAAAGAATACCCAAGGCTCGGTCAGCCAACACTGCTGGTGACCCAAATTATATGAATGGGTGAGCACATATGTGCGTACGTGTGAAACGTGTCAACGGATCAAACACTCCGCTCATGCGGCTGCGCCTTTGGAGAATTTGCCTATACCCATGGGTGGTTGGGAATCCATCCGTATGAACTTTGTGTTTGGTTTGCCAACAGATTTGGACGGCGACACTATTATTGTGGTCTTTGTTGGCCGTTTGAGTGAAGTGACTCATTTAGCGGTTGTGCCGGCTTCGATTGATGGTGAACGTACAGCACACGTTTTTATCGATCGCGTGATTTGTCGACACGTTTTGCCTTTGGCAATTGTTTCAGATCGCGATCATCGCTTTACAGGGAATATTTGGAAGTCCATCTTCAAGGTGCTCGGCTCCACATTGGACATGTTCACCGCGGATCATCCGCAGACCGATGGTCAAACTAAACGCGTCAAATGTGTCATTTGTGACATTTTGCGCAGCGTGTGCGCAGATTCGCCTCGGCGTTGGAGCTTTATGCTTCCAATGATCGAAGTTGCCATGAACAATTCGGTCCACGCCTCGACTGGCCACACCCCATTCTATGTTAACGGCCTCACCCATCCGCGTGTCCCATTGACGCTACCACTCCGTGGTTTCGGGCTTGGTGGGGGAGGGATTTCTTATCGGCTTGCTGATATCAGCCCTGCCACTGTTCAAAAACAGGTAGGTGAGCTCCTTTCAACAAGGTCTAATGTCTTACGACACGTGCGAGATGCAATGGCTGATAGCCAAGCTAAAAAAGGAAGAAGCAGATGCCAAAGGCAGGAATTGTATTGAATGTTATGGGGTCGGAGACAAAGTCTTGCTAAAAGCTATGAATCTATATCTAAATTTAGTTTCAGCTACTTTAAAGCGAAGTTGCGTCCGAGCTGCATTGGACCTTTTACGATCATGGCCAAGAAGGGCCTTACGTATACGCTCAACTTGCCGCGCAAACGGCGTACACATCCCGTATTTATGTCGGCCTGCTTAAGTCACACCGGGACCCGTCCCATGTTGACTTGAAGGCGCTTGCGCCGCGTACATTAGCGGTGCCACAGGATGTTGCATCCGAATTCAGAGATCAAGTTGCGCCTTGACACGAGTCTGACGTGACTCCTTCATCTGAAGACGGGCGCGATCGCCTTTCATCGTCGCCAGACGAGATAAAGAAGGGCTTCGTCCAGGGTTTTATGAGTCTGACCCAAAGTCTCACGGAGATCCTCCACTTCCTTAACCAACGCAGCATGGCTTTCAGCCGATACTCCGAACACCGCCGGCGTTGCCTGATAAGCAAGAACTTTAAGCTCCATGTGGAGCGGGTAATTCAACGGCGTCGTCGTCATGGTCACTACCAATATCTGGTGAAGTAGTGTGGGTACCCTGAGTCTAAAAGCTCATGGTAGTATGAGATTCACCTTCGGCAAGACTGCCCATACGCCGTTGAAGTTTTTGAGCGCCACGGCCGAGCTCGTATTAACGAGCTTGAGGCTTCTCATTTATCGTAGTGAGAGCGGGAGATTTCGTGTCAAAAGATTGACGTGAACTCGCGGCTGCAGAGGTAGCCGAAGATTAGCGGGAGCGTAATACTCCCCGCAGACGGCCTCTGGCCTTTAACTTCGCGAAGTCATAGCGAATCTTTCGCTCTAGACGAACGTCTGCCACACTGGCACTTTCGCGTAGCGCGTGCATGCTACTGAGGCGTCGAACGCCATGCACTCAGCGGATGAACATATTGCCATCCGCAGTTCCGTCCCCATCTTCGGACTTAATGATGGGTTAACCCCTAATTCGTTAAGCCGGTGTTCCTTGGGCCTGCTTTGCAGCCGTTCTCTGTATTGACTCATAGTCATCAAAGTAGGTTCCAAGCACTTCTCTCGAAGAGCCTTGAGGCATTCGAGCTCAGTGGGCGTTTTTGTCTCGGGGCGGTAGCCCATGTTGCCAAAGTATGGCGTGACGCTTGAAGAATGAGTACTTCCACGCCAGGTGGAGTGAACGTATATTCACTGTGTCGTTGCAACGTTGTCTGAACTTCTGACTTGCTCCGTGCGCTTGCTGCTTGATCAAGCATGCGTTGTTGCTCCTCGTCAAGCGGGTTAGTGATGCCGGATGTATCCATGGGGGACATTGCTCCCAGCGCTGTTAGCGCAGTCGTGGCACTACGTTCGGGGAACGGATTAGGTGTCGGATGGGGAATATCCCCACGCACAGGTGTGCTGGGTTTGGATCGCTCCTCCCCCTCGACTTTGATATCATTACCACTGTCAAAGCCCACATCCTCGAGACCAAGGAAATTGGCTAGAGCCTTATCTTCCAGGAGGTGCCCAGGTCGGTCCATGTGAGTGCGTTACTTTGTAACAAGTCTTAATTGGAGAATGAGCCGAGGGACATTTGTGACAACGTCAGTCTGGTGGGGGAGGGTGTAACGAGGTCACACTAGCCTTTGGATAAATTGGTCAAAGACCTCCCGATAATGATATGAATGACTGTGTGTGACTTTAGATTTATACCAGCAAGAGAATATCGATTGATCGATCTTCCCGGGTTTGCGGTACTTACCGTGTACGTACTTTGTACCGTCATCATCTGATGCCTGAGTGATGTGGCAACCATCCATTTAGTTCGAATACTAATGTTTGTATTTGGGAAAATGCAGAGTACGTTAAGTAGGATTTTCCTTGATGTAAAATCTAAATAAAGTCCAGTTCTCATTTTGAGCAGAAGTCCCTAGACTTCCCCTCCTTTCGCATCTTGCGTTTGAAAGTTCATTGGAACCGTCGTGGGTTAGCGAGTCTTTAGACTATGGTATTACGCTTTTGCACATTGTGTATGTATCTCCTTAGAGCTACAGTAGCTGAGCTGTTAGCTCGTAGAGTCCACCCGAGTTCCATAATACTAAGTGACTCTTTAACTTGATATATTCGTTCCAAAAACTATTTTGCAACGGGGCACCTTCTGTCTAGGTGCCACGAAACTTCACGTACACTAGTGCGTGCAGAGGAAGCTAATGTACTTAAGGGACTCGTCCAAATTAAGGTAAAAAGAGAACTGTTTTTGGGATAGTTAAGCTATCAACATAACTTCAATCTTTATCTAACTATTTTAAACTACGTCGTCGTATAACGACAACTTGCTCACCATTCATTGCGCTCGTCTAGCAGCGATTGGTGGTAAACTATGGTGATATGTCTTTTATCAACCAATCTTGGAGCAGCGCATAAAATGATTTAAAAGGGGATAATGTTGGTAGAGAATTCTCAGGCTTGACAATCTCCCGATTGACACCGTTTGGTGTCAGCCTCATGTAACGGGATACCCCGTTACATCGCCCCCCCTTAACCATCAATCACCCGTTGATTGAATGAGAACTGATTGAGACAGGTTGACCACCGTTGGTTCACTCTGGGAAAGGGAGCACTTGTTGATCAAATTCCTTTCATGTTCGAATCTAACGCATGATTTCGAGAACTACGCGAGCTGCTACTGCAGCAGCAAGAAATACGGCTGCATGCATGCGTACAGACGCGGAAATTGCCTCTCACACCTCAGCAGCAGTTGAAGCAGTTGAATTCGTCACCTGTTGTTGTGAACGATCCACGTGGTGAGTCACCATGTGCGACAGGTATATCCGTTGCGTCTGCAGCGGGTACCACGAGTCGTAATCAAGATGAGTCTGAGATAGAGCATATCTATTCTGGCGAGTCGGATGATGCATCTGAATCGAAGGCGACTCTTCGCGTCTCCGGATCACCCGAGACGGACACTGCAAGAGCCAGGTTGACTGGCTATGGTCAACGCGGCGGTATCACGTCTAAGATCTTGTGACCGAGTGATTATTTCGACGAATCTCCGCCTCACACAAGTCCATCCAGCGATAGAACGCATGGGAATGGTGCTAATGCTCCTATACATCACCTAGAGCGAAGTAATTCGAGGGATCGAGCTATCACTGGTGTCAGTGCTCATGCTGACACCAATCAAGAGGCCAAAGACCGAAATGCTCTGCGCCACGCTCCCCGAGTGGGGTCCCTGTGAATGCTGCCATCCAGAGAGTTGGACCGGTTGGCCGGCACGACTACCGAACGGGATCGAATCCCTTTGTTCTATTGCAGGAAGATTTGCCCACCTGATTCCAGCACGGAAACTATCCGTGCTGCGAAAGAATTCTTCACCGATGCGTTTTTCAAGCACCGGTGGTATAGTAGCAGCCGTGCTCGAGACGGAAAAGCCTTGGTACAGGGATGGAATGCCCTCATCCACAACATCGAGTGTATTAGCCGTGATGCTTGGCTCGCCAAACTTGATGCAGCTCGCATCAGGTTTGAGAAACGCAACCCAGTCGGGGCGCGATACAAGTTGCACCGGCTTTCAAGAGAGGCAGGATTACCTTGTCTCTCGTGGGGTGATTCGTGTCCAGGTTGCCTGTACAATTCGAGCCGTGCCCTAGGGAGGCCTTCCTCCCTAATGATCCCTACTGGAGGGCGCGCATCTCTTCCGAGATGACCGAAGGTATTGACACCTTGCAATCCCTGTACTCGCGTTCAGGGAGGTCATATTCCGAAGGCCCTTCTTCAAACGCAGCGAGTGGGTCTCGTCGTACTGCTCGACGAGACCAAGGACGTCAACAATCAGCTGGGCACGAGGTTCCCAGCTGTCCCACGCCGGTGGATAGCCACGCCGGAGGACGAGGTAACTCGTCCAGACGCCCTTTACGCGGCGGTGGTTCAAAATAAACTCCACTGGGAAGCTTTGACCACCGCTTAGGTCCACCCAAGGATGTGGTGGCGGCGGGAACACCTGATCCGGCTCGAGGGTCGGATCAAGTTGATGTTCAAGGGCTTAACCGTCTAACGGAACAGTTGCAAGATGACCTGGCTAATGAAAGATCTAGGCGATATGGGCTTGAGGATCTTGTGAGGAATTATTGTAATTCCCTAACGCACGATCGTTCGGACGATCGTGCCGTTTTGCGTTTGCGCAACTTGAGAACGAACGTACGACTCGTTCTCTTCATGACGAGCTGTCTGCAGCTCTTCGTGACATCGCTGAGCTGCGTGAATAGGTCGCTTCGATAGTCGACCAGACTGGTTCGTTGAAACGGGACCACTCGAAGTTGGTATCGGCTCTCGACCACGGAGGTGTTCTTCTCATATCGAAACGGACTCATACTGATAGTACGGGCGGAGGCGACCAGCGTAAAACGCAGGATGCGTGCGCATCTTACGGGACAGTTTATTCGTGTATGTGTTGCCCATTCGGCGCAACACACGAAATGGACCAATGTACTTGGGCAGCAATTTCCTGCTGCCCACGTTTGTCACTGCGTGTTTCGGTAAGTTTACTGTAGACAGTAAAACTAGGTCTCCTTCATCAAATGAAAGAACATTCGCTCTTCCATGTTTGTCTGCGTTTCTCTTCTATCTGTCTAGTGCATCCGCAATAGAGTCTTGAACGAGCGGACAACCGCTTCGCGAGTCAACAGAAATTCCTGTGCTGATTCATCCTTGTTAACAGCAGTGCGCTTCGTGTGCACTGCTGAAAGAATGTTGTCTTCGCCAGTGAGGGTGTCATCGGCCTCACTTTGGCAGTCATTGGCGATGCTGAATGTGCCAGCATCGTCGTCATGTTTATCATCGATATCGATCGCATCAACATCGGCATCCATCATGTCGACACCATTGTCGACGGGTGATGTACAAGAACCATCTTGGTTGTTGTTCGAGCGAGTCCACCCCCTCGTTAAACTAGAGTCACACTCTAAGAAGGCGGATTAACGTGGATGGCGTAGGCCATTCACGAAGAAAGGTGTTTGCTGTTGTCGACGCGTGCAACGAGTTGTTAATGGCGATTTCCGCCATCGGCAAGAAGCTCGTAACCGAGTGGTCATACCCTCGAAGTATCTCTTCTAGGACGTGGTTGACGCGTTCCGTCTGACCATCTGTTTCTGGATGGTCAGAAGCTGACATCTTCAAACGTGTTCCTAGTGAACGGAACACGTATTGCCGAAACTCCGCAGTGAAGCGGAGGTTCCTATCAGACACGAGTTCACAGGATACCCGTGAAGTCGGAAGATAGCATCGTTGAAGACACGAGCACATCCCTGTGCTGTGATTGACTCTGGTACATCAACAAGATGTACCAACTTTCTGAACCGATCAACAAACACAAGAATCCCAGTATTCTTGTGAGCGTCTTTGAGAAACCCGACGACGGATTCCATCGATACGGACTGCCAACACTCTGCCGGAATCGGAACAGGCTGCAAGGGGGCACGGAATGAAGGACCAGGCTTCACCCGATGGCAAACTTTGCAAGCGCGAATGTACTTGCGCACAAACACACACTGGCGGGGCCAGAAGAAGTCACGACTCACCGTGAGGTAATTATTTTCTCTACCGCGATGCCCACTTGTTGAGGCATCGTGACACTCGTACATGATGCGCAATCGCAAATCATTATGAGCTGGAACGACAACACGAGGTGTATTGCCGTTGACTGCTGTATAGTACAGCAGTCCATCACGAACAGAATACCGTTCGGTTGAAGAGCGGTATTAAGACGACAAGCTTTGCAAAGCTTGACTGCATTGATCGGCTACATAATCCATCAAACGCAGAATAGACTCTTTTTCTGCGTATGCTTTTCGCACTTCGTCGAGAAGATTCGATGAAGGAACACTTAGTGATAGTGCAGCAACAATGGGATCACCCCTACTGTTGTGTTGAGCAGTCGGATTGAAATCGGGCCGACGCGAAAGAGCATCAGCGACGACATTAAGTCGTCCTGGTTCATACTCGACGGAGAAATTGTACTCTGCGAAGAAATACAGCCTTCTTGCCATTCGTTGCGAGAGGTGTGGACTGTTTACGGCCGTGCGTAATGACGCATGTTCGGTATAAACGGTGAAGGGCCTATCTCCTAAGAGATATACTCGAAACTTAGCCATTGCATATTTCATGGCAAGGAGTTCCTTGTCATGCACGGATAATTTCGCTCAGCTGCTTGCAGCTGACGCGATTGATAACAGACGACGCGCTCAACGCCGTCTCAGTCGTACTGCATTAACGCGCAGCCGATTGCAAAATTGCTGGCGTCACAGACCACACGGAATTGTCTGACCTGGTCTGCAATCGCCAACACAGGCGATGGCACCAAGCTTTTCTTGATGCCTTCAAAAGAGTGCTGAAACTCAGCACTCCATGACCACCTCTCGTTTTTCTTTAGCAGACGAGAGAGATGTACGGTCATCTCGGCATAGTTGCGCGAGTATTTGTGCAAGCACGCCGCCAAGCCAAGGAACTTTCGAAGTCCCTTGACGTTGGCTGGCACAGGCCAGTCGCTAATCGACTTGATCTTTTCTGGATCAGGGCGTACGCCGTGTTTACCCACGATGCAGCCAAGAAGCGGTATTTCGTTCGCTGCGAATATACACTTCTTGAGGTTCGCGAACAACTTATGCTCACGCATAAGTGTAATAGCCTTCCGGAAGTGGATTGCATGAGCCTCCACGCCCGCCTTTCCATCCATAGCCCGGATATGAACGAAGACATCGTCGAAGTAACTTGGTGCGAAGTCGCGCACAGATCGCAACAGATTTGTAACACATTTGTTAAACGTTGCGGGGGAGTCACTTAGCCCCTGTGGCATCACTAGCCACTCCCAGAGCATACCACTGGGGGTGATCACTGCTGTGTACGGGATATCCCGTTCACACATGAGGATCTGATAGAATCCATCCATCAAATCCATGGACGAAAAGATGGTACTCTTTGCCGTACCATCTATGATGACGTCCTTCCTCGGTATCGGCGTTTGATCCGGTACCGTTGCAGCATTTAATTTGTTGAACGCGTGCACTATCCGCTACCCCCCCCTGTGTTCTTTCGCACACAGAAGGTCGGAGAGCTGTGTGGGGATGTTGATTCCCTCACATGACCAGCCACTAAACGATCGGCAAAGAGGTTGTCGATCGCTGTGACCTGTTCACGAGGCAGTGGCCACTGCTTCATGACACAGTATTTCGAACCAGGTTTCAGTTCGGTCTCATGCCGAGTGCTTTTGTCCTTGGGTAGCTCGCATGGCACGGATTCCGGGAAAACATCCCTGAATTCAACCAAATCTGTATACAAAGGATTTGTCTTCAAAGACTCCCAATATTGAGACGTGTATCTCTCAATTCGGGTCTTCTCATCGAGGACACTCTCGTCCATTGATGATCTACTGAAAAACCGTTTGTTCTCTGTAAACACTTGTGTCGACCGAACATCGGCGACGTACTCGTCCTCTGTGACGAGTATGCAGATCTGCTTGATCTTGTCACCATGCAGATCTCGCAAGGATCTTTAAGATTGTAGCATTGGCAACTTGATTACCTTCGAAGCTGACTTCGGGGGAAAAATCAGATCAAGTGTATAAGCGCCTACACTTGATCCGTCATTCACCATGACATCCACTGGCTCGGTGCTTTCCTGGAAAAACACATCCGCAGGTGGTTGGGGATCCACACCCTCAACATAACTCTCTCGGGAGTTATTGCTCTCAGGAACGCTAAAATTTCTTCCAGTACGTGTACTGACTGTGGGCGTAATACCACAGTCACGTCCTCATATAGACTCTCTTTCAGTTGAGCGGGCTTGCTCTACGATCGACTATCTGATAGTCGATCTCGCTTCAACGTGTTGTCCATCCTGAACAATACTAATCTCTCTTCTTGGATGCACCCTTCTTGGCGTGCATCCGTTTTCCAGTCTACTCGATCTCTTCGAGTGGTGAGCCTTCGGCGCAGCCTGTGTCTCTACACAGGTGCCGGAAGCTGGCTTTCACAGTGTAGTGGCCTTCTACACTGTGATCTTCTGCAATCGTACAAACGACCGTACCACAAGTGAGGCCATCGCACTCACTCTCGTAGTACATCCACATGCTTGTGGACGCTCCAAGACGTTCATCAGATGTCCATCCAATGAACAAACGGCAGGCATCTTCACGGATCGATGCTGCCAGCTGATCCATGGCTGTCATTTTCCAAGCCATGGCAGACCAAGGATGACACCAAATTTATCATCCAAATCTAGTACGATGAAGTCATCATCGTACTGCTTTTCTTTTAGCGTGTAGTGGATTCCCACTACACGTTTGTTCACTGTTACGGATGCGCCTGTAGTAAGTCACACCGTCATCCTTGTTGGAGGAAAATCTCGCTCAACACAGTTGAGACTATTATCTTCTAGAGACTGGCATCGAATGAAACTGTTCGACGCCCCACAGTCAACTAGGGCGCGAAGTGACATCCCACTTGTCACTTCAATCTTCAAAGTGATGAGAGACACCTCATCACTGGGGTCAGTAACACACAGAGACTGTGTGTTGGGAGCAATCTTCGTCAAGAGTCTTGCAAATCCTCTTGACGTTGCTGAATCAGCAGGGTGCTCCGCCCCTACTGACCCTGACCGTGTTTTGGCGGTCCGACTTGCTGTCGCAGCTTAGCGATATGGTCGGGCCCACGCCTTGGACCTTTCCTTGGCCAGCAATTGTCATCACGTCCTTTCTTTGGACGTGATGCGGTGCTTAGGACACTACACTCATGAGCGCAGTGACCAACATTCTGCCAGCGATGGCATCTTGCCGTTCGCTTGTGACTCAGAGAGCGAGACTTCTCTCTCTCGATGTAACAGACGTCCATTGGTTCGGGACCCCTATTTCCTGTCGTCTAGTCGGACGATAGTTTGACGAGTTAGACTGAGACTGTCTCAGGCTGAAGTCTTCTTGTTCCGCATACGCTACCGCTTTTTCAAGCGTATGGAAGTCCTCTCGGAACATGTAGGGCCTCACCGGCCCATCCACAAGGCCGTAGATGAACACGTTGATGAGCGTGTGCTCATCAACAGGGTTTTCCGTAACGCTACTCGCAAGGTAGCGTAGGTGCTGTGCATAAGCGTGCACGTCACGCTTACCTTGCTTTAGTCTTAGGAGTGCAAAGCGTGCTCTATACTCGGCTCTTGGCGGCTCAAACGTCTCTATAAGCCGGGACTTCAAGATCTCCGACGACTCAAACACGTTTAGGTCGTGAAGCTTGAGCGCTAAGGCCCAAGTATTTGCTAGTCCCGTCAAATTTGACAGGCGAAGGTGACTTGCATCTCGTCACACTCGAAATGACAGTACCTGATGTCATCGTCTAACTCGACGAACCATCTCAAAAGGGAATCTTCATCGGCTCCCTAATACCTTGAGACGTCAATCTTCAAGGTTTCGGGTCGACGCATGTGCGTCAGCCCGCCCATCGACTGATGAGAGCCTTGCTGCTGTAGCAAGGCTATCTTCTGTCGTTCGACTGCAAGTTCCCCTTGTAGGAACTTGTTGATAGCAGCATGTTGCTGGTCTCTGCTTAGAGACTCCAACATACCACTGATGGCGGATTCGCCCATGCGCACACTCATGCGGCCGACTATCTCCCATTATGAGTCACTCAGATAGGAGTAGCCTTTATGTGTTATTTGAAAGTTCTTGTATTAAATGTCCAACATGTTCATGCTGTACACTAAGTAGTTGTTGGACGGACTACAAAGAGCTAACAGGTGTAACGGGGCACTCTTTGTCCAGGTACCACGAAACTTCACGTACACTAGTACGTGCAGAGGAAGCTAATCTACTTGAGCGACTCGTTCAAGTAAAGGTAAAAAGTGGACTGCATTTAACATAGTCAAGTTATCAATATAACTTCAATCTTCATCTAACTATATTAAACTACGTCGTCGTATGACGACAACCTGCTCACCACTCAATGCGCGTCCAGCAGCGATTGGTGGTAAACTATGGTGATATGTCTTTTATCAACCAATCTTAAAGCAGAGCATGAATCTAATCTGATTGAAGTAATTTTCTTTCAACATACTCCATCTTGGATACTATTGGTAGAACATTGTCATGCTGGACAATACTCGAATTGACACCGTTTGGTGTCAATTTCATGTGACGGGCTACCCCGTTACATAATATCCTGTCAGTCGTAAGCCGTTGGATTTTTAAATAAGTCCTCCTCTTACTTAAAGAGCTGTGTAGCTCCGCTACAGACTAGATGCACCAAAACAGTAAATTCTTTGCCTAGCTTTGCATCATAGTCGACACGTCGGTTCGGCGTTGCTATTTGGTTGTTGAGTATCGAGATGGGAACAATTGCAGACCTATTCACAAGCATGTATGGCGACAGCGACAGAGACTGTATCTACAATAAAGGGGCATAAAACTCGCTGCTACCAAGCTACAGTTCATTATGCAAGAGGCGAAGAGGAGTTAGGAAAGATTAGGAGTTAATCTTCGCCACACTACGACTAAACTTTTACATTAGAAGAGCGCAATAAGCTCTAATGCCTCAATTTTTGGTCTACGGAATCTGTAACGGTGTAGCCCGTTACATGGTATTGACACCAAACGGAGTCAATTCGAGTATTGTCCAGCATGACAATGTTCTACCAATTTTATCCAAGATGGAGTATGTTGAAAGAAAATTACTTCAATCAGATTAGATTCATGCGCTGCTCCAAGATTGGTTGATAAAAGACATATCACCATAGTTTACCACCAATCGCTGCTGGACGCGCATTGAGTGGTGAGCAGGTTGTCGTCATACGACGACGTAGTTTAATATAGTTAGATGAAGATTGAAGTTATATTGATAACTTGACTATGTTAAATGCAGTCCACTTTTTACCTTTACTTGAACGAGTCGCTCAAGTAGATTAGCTTCCTCTGCACGTACTAGTGTACGTGAAGTTTCGTGGTACCTGGACAAAGAGTGCCCCGTTACACCTGTTAGCTCTTTGTAGTCCGTCCAACAACTACTTAGTGTACAGCATGAACATGTTGGACATTTAATACAAGAACTTTCAAATAACACATAAAGGCTACTCCTATCTGAGTGACTCATAATGGGAGATAGTCGGCCGCATGAGTGTGCGCATGGGCGAATCCGCCATCAGTGGTATGTTGGAGTCTCTAAGCAGAGACCAGCAACATGCTGCTATCAACAAGTTCCTACAAGGGGAACTTGCAGTCGAACGACAGAAGATAGCCTTGCTACAGCAGCAAGGCTCTCATCAGTCGATGGGCGGGCTGACGCACATGCGTCGACCCGAAACCTTGAAGATTGACGTCTCAAGGTATTAGGGAGCCGATGAAGATTCCCTTTTGAGATGGTTCGTCGAGTTAGACGATGACATCAGGTACTGTCATTTCGAGTGTGACGAGATGCAAGTCACCTTCGCCTGTCAAATTTGACGGGACTAGCAAATACTTGGGCCTTAGCGCTCAAGCTTCACGACCTAAACGTGTTTGAGTCGTCGGAGATCTTGAAGTCCCGGCTTATAGAGACGTTTGAGCCGCCAAGAGCCGAGTATAGAGCACGCTTTGCACTCCTAAGACTAAAGCAAGGTAAGCGTGACGTGCACGCTTATGCACAGCACCTACGCTACCTTGCGAGTAGCGTTACGGAAAACCCTGTTGATGAGCACACGCTCATCAACGTGTTCATCTACGGCCTTGTGGATGGGCCGGTGAGGCCCTACATGTTCCGAGAGGACTTCCATACGCTTGAAAAAGCGGTAGCGTATGCGGAACAAGAAGACTTCAGCCTGAGACAGTCTCAGTCTAACTCGTCAAACTATCGTCCGACTAGACGACAGGAAATAGGGGTCCCGAACCAATGGACGTCTGTTACATCGAGAGAGAGAAGTCTCGCTCTCTGAGTCACAAGCGAACGGCAAGATGCCATCGCTGGCAGAATGTTGGTCACTGCGCTCATGAGTGTAGTGTCCTAAGCACCGCATCACGTCCAAAGAAAGGACGTGATGACAATTGCTGGCCAAGGAAAGGTCCAAGGCGTGGGCCCGACCATATCGCTAAGCTGCGACAGCAAGTCGGACCGCCAAAACACGGTCAGGGTCAGTAGGGGCGGAGCACCCTGCTGATTCAGCAACGTCAAGAGGATTTGCAAGACTCTTGACGAAGATTGCTCCCAACACACAGTCTCTGTGTGTTACTGACCCCAGTGATGAGGTGTCTCTCATCACTTTGAAGATTGAAGTGACAAGTGGGATGTCACTTCGCGCCCTAGTTGACTGTGGGGCGTCGAACAGTTTCATTCGATGCCAGTCTCTAGAAGATAATAGTCTCAACTGTGTTGAGCGAGATTTTCCTCCAACAAGGATGACGGTGTGACTTACTACAGGCGCATCCGTAACAGTGAACAAACGTGTAGTGGGAATCCACTACACGCTAAAAAAAGCAGTACGATGATGACTTCATCGTACTAGATTTGGATGATAAATTTGGTGTCATCCTTGGTCTGCCATGGCTTGGAAAATGACAGCCATGGATCAGCTGGCAGCATCGATCCGTGAAGATGCCTGCCGTTTGTTCATTGGATGGACATCTGATGAACGTCTTGGAGCGTCCACAAGCATGTGGATGTACTACGAGAGTGAGTGCGATGGCCTCACTTGTGGTACGGTCGTTTGTACGATTGCAGAAGATCACAGTGTAGAAGGCCACTACACTGTGAAAGCCAGCTTCCGGCACCTGTGTAGAGACACAGGCTGCGCCGAAGGCTCACCACTCGAAGAGATCGAGTAGACTGGAAAACGGATGCACGCCAAGAAGGGTGCATCCAAGAAGAGAGATTAGTATTGTTCAGGATGGACAACACGTTGAAGCGAGATCGACTATCAGATAGTCGATCGTAGAGCAAGCCCGCTCAACTGAAAGAGAGTCTATATGAGGACGTGACTGTGGTATTACGCCCACAGTCAGTACACGTACTGGAAGAAATTTTAGCGTTCCTGAGAGCAATAACTCCCGAGAGAGTTATGTTGAGGGTGTGGATCCCCAACCACCTGCGGATGTGTTTTTCCAGGAAAGCACCGAGCCAGTGGATGTCATGGTGAATGACGGATCAAGTGTAGGCGCTTATACACTTGATCTGATTTTTCCCCCGAAGTCAGCTTCGAAGGTAATCAAGTTGCCAATGCTACAATCTTAAAGATTCTTGCGAGATCTGCGTGGTGACAAGATCAAGCATATCTGCATACTCGTCACAGAGGACGAGTACGTCGCCGATGTTCGGTCGACACAAGTGTTTACAGAGAGCAAACGGGCTCACAGTAGATCATCAATGGACGAGAGTGTCCTCGATGAGAAGACCCGAATTGAGAGATACACGTCTCAATATTGGGAGTCTTTGAAGACAAATCCTTTGTATACAGATTTGGTTGAATTCAGGGATGTTTTCCCGGAATCCGTGCCATGCGAGCTACCCAAGGACAAAAGCACTCGGCATGAGACCGAACTGAAACCTGGTTCGAAATACTGTGTCATGAAGCAGTGGCCACTGCCTCGTGAACAGGTCACAGCGATCGACAACCTCTTTGCCGATCGTTTAGTGGCTGGTCATGTGAGGGAATCAACATCCCCACACAGCTCTCCGACCTTCTGTGTGCGAAAGAACACAGGGGGGGGTAGCGGATAGTGCACGCGTTCAACAAATTAAATGCTGCAACGGTACCGGATCAAACGCCGATACCGAGGAAGGACGTCATCATAGATGGTACGGCAAAGAGTACCATCTTTTCGTCCATGGATTTGATGGATGGATTCTATCAGATCCTCATGTGTGAACGGGATATCCCGTACACAGCAGTGATCACCCCCCAGTGGTATGCTCTGGGAGTGGCTAGTGATGCCACAGGGGCTAAGTGACTCCCCCGCAACGTTTAACAAATGTGTTACAAATCTGTTGCGATCTGTGCGCGACTTCGCACCAAGTTACTTCGACGATGTCTTCGTTCATATCCGGGCTATGGATGGAAAGGCGGGCGTGGAGGCTCATGCAATCCACTTCCGGAAGGCTATTACACTTATGCGTGAGCATAAGTTGTTCGCGAACCTCAAGAAGTGTATATTCGCAGCGAACGAAATACCGCTTCTTGGCTGCATCGTGGGTAAACACGGCGTACGCCCTGATCCAGAAAAGATCAAGTCGATTAGCGACTGGCCTGTGCCAGCCGACGTCAAGGGACTTCGAAAGTTCCTTGGCTTGGCGGCGTGCTTGCACAAATACTCGCGCAACTATGCCGAGATGACCGTACATCTCTCTCGTCTGCTAAAGAAAAACGAGAGGTGGTCATGGAGTGCTGAGTGTCAGCACTCTTTTGAAGGCATCAAGAAAAGCTTGGTGCCATCGCCTGTGTTGGCGATTGCAGACCAGGTCAGACAATTCCGTGTGGTCTGTGACGCCAGCAATTTTGCAATCGGCTGCGCGTTAGTGCAGTACGACTGAGACGGCGTTGAGCGCGTCGTCTGTTATCAATCGCGTCAGCTGCAAGCAGCTGAGCGAAATTATCCGTGCATGACAAGGAACTCCTTGCCATGAAATATGCAATGGCTAAGTTTCGAGTATATCTCTTAGGAGATAGGCCCTTCACCGTTTATACCGAACATGCGTCATTACGCACGGCCGTAAACAGTCCACACCTCTCGCAACGAATGGCAAGAAGGCTGTATTTCTTCGCAGAGTACAATTTCTCCGTCGAGTATGAACCAGGACGACTTAATGTCGTCGCTGATACTCTTTCGCGTCGGCCCGATTTCAATCCGACTGCTCAACACAACAGTAGGGGTGATCCCATTGTTGCTGCACTATCACTAAGTGTTCCTTCATCGAATCTTCTCGACGAAGTGCGAAAAGCATACGCAGAAAAAGAGTCTATTCTGCGTTTGATGGATTATGTAGCCGATCAATGCAGTCAAGCTTTGCAAAGCTTGTCGTCTTAATACCGCTCTTCAACCGAACGGTATTCTGTTCGTGATGGACTGCTGTACTATACAGCAGTCAACGGCAATACACCTCGTGTTGTCGTTCCAGCTCATAATGATTTGCGATTGCGCATCATGTACGAGTGTCACGATGCCTCAACAAGTGGGCATCGCGGTAGAGAAAATAATTACCTCACGGTGAGTCGTGACTTCTTCTGGCCCCGCCAGTGTGTGTTTGTGCGCAAGTACATTCGCGCTTGCAAAGTTTGCCATCGGGTGAAGCCTGGTCCTTCATTCCGTGCCCCCTTGCAGCCTGTTCCGATTCCGGCAGAGTGTTGGCAGTCCGTATCGATAGAATCCGTCGTCGGGTTTCTCAAAGACGCTCACAAGAATACTGGGATTCTTGTGTTTGTTGATCGGTTCAGAAAGTTGGTACATCTTGTTGATGTACCAGAGTCAATCACAGCACAGGGATGTGCTCGTGTCTTCAACGATGCTATCTTCCGACTTCACGGGTATCCTGTGAACTCGTGTCTGATAGGAACCTCCGCTTCACTGCGGAGTTTCGGCAATACGTGTTCCGTTCACTAGGAACACGTTTGAAGATGTCAGCTTCTGACCATCCAGAAACAGATGGTCAGACGGAACGCGTCAACCACGTCCTAGAAGAGATACTTCGAGGGTATGACCACTCGGTTACGAGCTTCTTGCCGATGGCGGAAATCGCCATTAACAACTCGGTGCACGCGTCGACAACAGCAAACACCTTTCTTCGTGAATGGCCTACGCCATCCACGTTAATCCGCCTTCTTAGAGTGTGACTCTAGTTTAACGAGGGGGTGGACTCGCTCGAACAACAACCAAGATGGTTCTAGTACATCACCCGTCGACAATGGTGTCGACATGATGGATGCCGATGTTGATGCGATCGATATCGATGATAAACATGACGACGATGCTGGCACATTCAGCATCGCCAATGACTGCCAAAGTGAGGCCGATGACACCCTCACTGGCGAAGACAACATTCTTTCAGCAGTGCACACGAAGCGCACTGCTGTTAACAAGGATGAATCAGCACAGGAATTTCTGTTGACTCGCGAAGCGGTTGTCCGCTCGTTCAAGACTCTATTGCGGATGCACTAGACAGATAGAAGAGAAACGCAGACAAACATGGAAGAGCGAATGTTCTTTCATTTGATGAAGGAGACCTAGTTTTACTGTCTACAGTAAACTTACCGAAACACGCAGTGACAAACGTGGGCAGCAGGAAATTGCTGCCCAAGTACATTGGTCCATTTCGTGTGTTGCGCCGAATGGGCAACACATACACGAATAAACTGTCCCGTAAGATGCGCACGCATCCTGCGTTTTACGCTGGTCGCCTCCGCCCGTACTATCAGTATGAGTCCGTTTCGATATGAGAAGAACACCTCCGTGGTCGAGAGCCGATACCAACTTCGAGTGGTCCCGTTTCAACGAACCAGTCTGGTCGACTATCGAAGCGACCTATTCACGCAGCTCAGCGATGTCACGAAGAGCTGCAGACAGCTCGTCATGAAGAGAACGAGTCGTACGTTCGTTCTCAAGTTGCGCAAACGCAAAACGGCACGATCGTCCGAACGATCGTGCGTTAGGGAATTACAATAATTCCTCACAAGATCCTCAAGCCCATATCGCCTAGATCTTTCATTAGCCAGGTCATCTTGCAACTGTTCCGTTAGACGGTTAAGCCCTTGAACATCAACTTGATCCGACCCTCGAGCCGGATCAGGTGTTCCCGCCGCCACCACATCCTTGGGTGGACCTAAGCGGTGGTCAAAGCTTCCCAGTGGAGTTTATTTTGAACCACCGCCGCGTAAAGGGCGTCTGGACGAGTTACCTCGTCCTCCGGCGTGGCTATCCACCGGCGTGGGACAGCTGGGAACCTCGTGCCCAGCTGATTGTTGACGTCCTTGGTCTCGTCGAGCAGTACGACGAGACCCACTCGCTGCGTTTGAAGAAGGGCCTTCGGAATATGACCTCCCTGAACGCGAGTACAGGGATTGCAAGGTGTCAATACCTTCGGTCATCTCGGAAGAGATGCGCGCCCTCCAGTAGGGATCATTAGGGAGGAAGGCCTCCCTAGGGCACGGCTCGAATTGTACAGGCAACCTGGACACGAATCACCCCACGAGAGACAAGGTAATCCTGCCTCTCTTGAAAGCCGGTGCAACTTGTATCGCGCCCCGACTGGGTTGCGTTTCTCAAACCTGATGCGAGCTGCATCAAGTTTGGCGAGCCAAGCATCACGGCTAATACACTCGATGTTGTGGATGAGGGCATTCCATCCCTGTACCAAGGCTTTTCCGTCTCGAGCACGGCTGCTATTATATCACCGGTGCTTGAAAAACGCATCGGTGAAGAATTCTTTCGCAGCACGGATAGTTTCCGTGCTGGAATCAGGTGGGCAAATCTTCCTGCAATAGAACAAAGGGATTCGATCCCGTTCGGTAGTCGTGCCGGCCAACCGGTCCAACTCTCTGGATGGCAGCATTCACAGGGACCCCACTCGGGAAGCGTGGCGCAGAGCATTTCGGTCTTTGGCCTCTTGATTGGTGTCAGCATGAGCACTGACACCAGTGATAGCTCGATCCCTCGAATTACTTCGCTCTAGGTGATGTATAGGAGCATTAGCACCATTCCCATGCGTTCTATCGCTGGATGGACTTGTGTGAGGCGGAGATTCGTTGAAATAATCACTCGGTCACAAGATCTTAGACGTGATACCGCCGCGTTGACCATAGCCAGTCAACCTGGCTCTTGCAGTGTCCGTCTCGGGTGATCCGGAGACGCGAAGAGTCGCCTTCGATTCAGATGCGTCATCCGACTCGCCAGAATAGATATGCTCTATCTCAGACTCATCTTGATTACGACTCGTGGTACCCGCTGCAGACGCAACGGATATACCTGTCGCACATGGTGACTCACCACGTGGATCGTTCACAACAACAGGTGACGAATTCAACTGCTTCAACTGCTGCTGAGGTGTGAGAGGCAATTTCCGCGTCTGTACGCATGCATGCAGCCGTATTTCTTGCTGCTGCAGTAGCAGCTCGCGTGGTTCTCGAAATCATGCGTTAGATTCGAACATGAAAGGAATTTGATCAACAAGTGCTCCCTTTCCCAGAGTGAACCAACGGTGGTCAACCTGTCCCAATCAGTTCTCATTCAATCAACGAGTACTTGATAGTAAAGGGGGGGGCGATGTAACGGGGTAGCCCGCTGGGTGATATTGACACCAAATGGTGACAATAAGAATATTGTCTAGTGTGGAGAAGCGCAAAGGAAGAATGACGGAAGTGTGGATTGCGCGATCCGCCTTTTGTACAAAAATTAGTTTGATTGGTGGAGCGCGTACGGAGATGGGCCCGTTGGCACGGGTGATGGTATCACACGGTTGTGTGACAGGAAAAGACTGTAAAAATTATGCAGAGTAACCCGCTTAACGGTCACGAAGGGGTAAAGGTCAAGTGGAGTGTGTCATGATGATCGAGGTAGATTACGTACCCGCCGTGGATCGCATAACGCGATCCGGTACTCCGCGATCGGGAACTCCGCGATCCGGTTCTCCACAATCCTGAACTCCGCGATCCGTCTCCGCGATCCGGTACTACGCGATCCGGTACCCTACGATCCGGTTTGGACTATCCACTATGGATATCTGCTGTGGACCACAGGATGTAAGAGGTGAATGACATAGACAGCCTATTTAGCGAACAGATATGCATAGTCATCATAAGCTTTAGGTTTGGTTGGTTGACAATAAACAGAATTGAATTTGCAACGTAAAAAAAGACACGCGTCGACTTCTCCCGGGCAGGATCTTCGGCCTCCCGTTGAATAGAGAGTCACCCACGTCTTAAGTGAACTTCTCTTTTGGATTGTTTGGCCAGGCGAAAGGTCAGTTCTCACACTCCTCAACTGCGATGGATGGCAGTGAATCTTACAGTTCAGATTCAAGATCGTGAGACGGCTCAAGTGGTCAGAAGGCTCGCGTATCAAGCATCACCCCTGGCAAATGCGACTCTGGGAGAGCACCCAAGTTACAAGCGATCAAGTGAAGAATTTCCAGCGATCCGCACGTACGTTGACCGGGTGAAGTATTTCCACCCGATCAACACCTATTCCTATGACTGTCAAGTTCAGCTTCAGCTCAAGTCCACCAAGAAAAGCGCAACCCGCCCCATCGACGGGTACATAGGGTGAGCAAGAACAAACAGAACGCGGAATCGGGGTACCCCCTCCGTTAGTCGGTCGTCCGGGCTCCAGTGGAGAGTCGGGATCGTCTCAGAAAACGGGCTATCGCCACTCCACCACAATGGTGCTCGTGCCGGGATCTTCTGGTGACTCGGGATTACACCATGAGTCCCTGAGCGAAGAAGACAATATCAAGGCTGAGCCTGGGATAGATGCATCAGGGAATAAGAGATCGTCGCATACACACGAAGATGAAGGATCTACAGATCGTCAAAGTGTTTTAAAATGGCTTTGATGACGAGAAAATAATAAAAGGGTAGATCGATCTCACAATCTGAAATTAAAACCCTAATTTTCTCCTGAAGCCCCTCTGGGGGCTACCGCAGATCGCACTGTACAGCGCGACCGCAGGATGAAAGTCCTAGGAGAATCCCCAAACGATTTTCATCTATTAGATGAACCATCAGAGATGATAAAGAGAGAAACAAGATGCTCGAAAGAGTTTGAGAAGCTGGCGGAGGCAAAGCAATATCGAGATATTTACAAGAACAACCCAGCCAGATGCCAGGTCAGGACAGAGATGATAGATAAAGGCTCAAAGTCAGTGGATCGCGAAGTGAAGTTTCAACATTGGCAATTCGACTATTTAATCTGGGAGTATTACCTGAAGAAGCTAAAAAAGCTGCTGTCGAGAGATCCAGTACTCAAGACGATCAAGCTGAAGCTGACCAGATCGCTACGCGGACCGATAACAGTGCCCACACCAACCCCCAACGTGTCTAAGGGGCTACAGAGTCCCATCAATCCGCTAAAGGAGGTGGTGTTTACGGAGGGAACGTTCAACGCACAAACTATATTAGAATGCAACCACGATCGAGTGACCGCTACCGGAAAGTCGCTGTTTAAGAAGGTGAGTCCACTTCTAGGCATACGTGACCCCGGAGACAACCCGACCCCGCCGATTGGCACCTCGGATCAACGGATCACGCCGCGAATTACGACGGATCAAGTTCTCACGCCGATAAACGATTTTCCCAAGGGTAAACACATTGGATCGTCTTGATAAGCTTCAGCGGAATCGGGAAAGGACTCGAACGATTTGTTCGAGATCCAACGGATGTCGCTAAGACCAAAGGGTGCGGATCTGTTGCGGAAGACATTTGAACGGAATGCGGCAGAAGGGCAAGCGGGAAAGCCATCAGTAACGCCGTTTATGAACATGGTGGGGTCAGATTAGTAACTTCTTATTTTTTAACAGCCATGAAGAAATAGGAGCTAAAAAAGGCTCACGTGAACGCTGGACAATCTATAAATCGCCATCCCAAACCGGAGATCCACGTGTCGGACATTGACATGGAGTCGGTTGGATCGCGTTCTAACGGATCGCATGACAATGGTCATGAGCATCGGGAGCAAAGAGGCAAGAGAATATTGCCGGTGACGACGGCAGGAGAGGCAGAGAGGGGCGAATTCGGTAACCAAAGGATTTGAATTCATGCCATGGCCGAGCTGACACTATTCTCCAGCCGATAGAATAATAAAGAACGAGCCGGGAACTGGAATAGTAAGGTGAAGTTGGCGTTCCTACGCCATCAAGCGCCAGTGGAGCAGACGTGCTAGGCTAGTTTTACCAGTCACGCGCCTTCCCGTAAGAAGATCGCTGAACACGATCTTCTTACGGGAAGGCGCGTGACTGGTATAACTAGCCTAGCCGCTCAGCGAGGACTTCGTGGAAGGCACTACTGGAAGGCTTCATGGCAAAATAAGGAGGAAAGAAATTTGCTCTAGTTGGGTGACTCTATTACCATGCGCGTAAGCGATCGAACGAGACTCCATTGGAATACTTGTACCGTCTAGACGTGACCGCGATCCGGGCGAAGATCCCGATACGAAATGGATCGCCCGCCACTTGCAAGGAACATGTTAATCATTACATTCGTACCCTGAACGATCACGATCCGGCTTAAATGATAACGATGCTAAGTCTTGGAGATACAGGTGATCTGGAAGAAAACGCTGCAAGAATGTGAGAACATTAAAGTTCGAGAAGCCCATGCATCTATGGTGTCGAGCGAATTCGACAGCGTGTTGCGCCACAGAAGGCCTAATTTACAGCAAAACCAGCGCGAGCTGTGAGAGCAATCCATGCGGATCACGAGAATCCAGGCGGATCACGAGAGTAGTGGGTCTAACAGAGACTCTTGCAGATCGGACTTCGGCTCGGATAGACACAACGGAGATATGGCCACGGCTACGGATCGCGCTCAGAATTCAGATCGACACAACGCGTGCAAAGCTACCGCTGCGGATCGCGCTCAGAATACGGGACACCCATTCATTCGAAGTGAGCAAGTCGCTCGCGATCGCCATAAAGATCGTGGAAGGTCTCAAATATCGTGTACGCACTGTGGTTCGAAGAGACATGACGATCGCGGATGTTGGAAAAGACTTACGTGTCAGAAGTGTGGACGTAAGGGGCATCCTTCGAACAAATGCTACTACGTGTGTTCCTTTTGCAAGGACGTCCACGAGGAAGGAAAGTGCCCAATGGAAAGTTTTATGACAAGATCCGTCAGTGGTATGTGCCTACCAAGCATGCAGGGATGTTGCCGGAACAAGTCGAGAAGATGCTAAACTAGGACGCTCGCTAGGTTGGAATCTGGAACGAGCCGAGCGTTCTAGGCTCTGCGTATATGGATTTGTGCAGAGGAAGGGGGTCGACGGAAGTGAGGATAAGCAGAATGATTAGTAATATACATTTGATTTTTTAAACTGTCTGCGTTCCATTTCAAGTGTTAGAAGGCCTGATGGGTACGCCCGATCGCCCACCAAGATGGAACTTGTCCTAGCGCCGGGCAAGTCAAGGCGATACTGGAATAACCATATACCAGGAAAATGATTCAATCAAGCTTAAGTGGTCGGGAAGGTTAACAACGAAAAGGCCACAATGATATTGGACTCGGCAGATGAAAATTTTGATCGTGGACACCGCCTTTGCTCGTAAGGTAGGATGTGTCGTTGACGAGAATTAGAAACAAGAGTGTGTGGGGATCGGTGAAAACACTTACATGACCGAAGAACGTACCAAGATCAAAATCACCATGAATGGATTGCTATTATACTATTTTGACGTGTGGGTGGGTGATCAAGTCGGTCAAGAGGTGATCCTAGGTATGGACTTCATGGTGCCCGCAGGTATACGTTAGATTTGGCTGACGGGACGCTAGTATTGCCAGAAGAAGTGACGAATCATTTAGCAGGACGAAGACCTCTGTACAGATCATCAATGCAGCCGATCGTGACCCCAGAACAGCATTTGGTGATGCCGGTCGGTATGTCGGCGGAGATAAGGATTGGCAACGTCCAGTCTATTATTGAACTCTGGGTGAGCGCGATACTTCATGGGTACCCAACGTAAATACTGGAATAGGTCGCATCAAGTATTTGTAGCTGACAAACCTCGGCGACAAAGAAATAATTCTCGGCCACGGACCGGCTTTAGGCTATAATATGGCTGCCGACATGATACCTCGATACCCAGGCTACGTCTCGTCTGGATCGCGACGGTACAACGAGTGGCAGACACTATCCTCTAAAGCTACGACTGAAAGAGAGGAAGAAGTACCGACCGCATACGCGGGACCGCTTGTGAATCACCCGACCTACCCTACGCCAAAGAAAGTTCATTGTCAGCTTGCATGGAATAACGATCCAAAGGACAGCCCAATTATAGACGAAAAAGTGTTTCTACGTGTGGACTCACTGCCACATGCCGTTCGAACGATCGAGGAGAAGGGCGGAAGCGTTCGAACACCCGGGGGGCCAATGGCAGACGTCGCGATGAAAAAGGACAATAACGCCGATAGATCGCATGACGGATCGCATGACACGATCGACGATCGATAAGTGGATCACCGATCGACAAGTGTCAGGCCCGTGGTTCACACAATTCACGAACTTACGACGAAATAAGGAGCAGAGGATGTGTAGAGGAAAGAGGCCGGATCTTCACCAGGTGTGACGATCGACGATGAGCCTGATCCGTGTAAAGACCGGATCGCGATGGAATTAGACGTCGCTTCCTGTAGTCATGAAATTGGGGAGTTGCACGCTGAGGATGTGAATAAGCACATGGCGGTACTACCCGACAGTGTTACGCCCACTGCCGAGGTTGCGATCGACAATGACTAAATAGGCAATTCAGATGTACCGCTGACTGATGACCAAGAACGATTAGGATCACTGATCTGCAGAAACAAGCACCTTCTTATTGGTAAAGGAAACGCACTCCCTCCGGCCGTACAAGGAGCGATGTGCGATATTGACGTGAGAGGATCGATCCTGATAGCGCAAAGCGTACGGTCAGTAGCACCCAAGTTTCGCAAAAAGTTAGCGGATTTGATTAAAGGACTGCTCTCGGACAAAATTATTCGTCCTCCCACATCACCTTGGGCCTCGCCGATCGTCGTTATTATCGAAAAGAATGGCGAAAACACTCGATTGTGCATCTACTATCGATGATTAAATCAGTTGACAAGGCTGATGGTGTACCCAATGCCACTGATCAATGAAACGTTACAAGACATGGACAAAGCAATGTGGTAGTGCTCACTGGACATGGCAAGCGGATTTGGTTGGTGGAGATGACAAAACGAGCAGGAAGAATTTCAGCATTCAATTTGCCGTCAGGCTTGTATGAATGGCTACAGATGCCGTTTGGGTTGAAAAACGCTCCACAGATTTACCAACGCCTGATCGACAATGCATTGTACGGATAGACGAAGACCGGTGATGATCCGGGTGCCTCCTCTACGGAATCGCCTAAACAGATCACCGTGTTCACAGCAGGAGAGCCGGACACCAGTCGGACAGCATCTGTGCTAGGTCGAAGATCGTACATCGATGACATTCTAATTACAGCTACATCGAGGGCCGATTTGTACGAAAGAGTGGATAGATTGCTACGTTCATGCGATTAGTGGAATTTGTCGATCACCCTGACCAAACGTTTTAGAGACGAAGCGTGGACTCAGTCGGTCATTAAGTATCACTCGCTGGATTGGAAGCCCACCCGAAGGATCTCGGATCGCTGGTCAACATTCCGTTTCCTCAAACGCTGCGGTCGATGCAGTCGTTTTTTGGAGTTTGTATTACTGTAGCCGATTCATTGAAGATTTTGCGATACATGCATCAGTGCTATACGAATAACGCGAAGCCGACTTCCACGAGATCCGACATATGGATGAGACGGATTTGTCAACATGGAATGGAAAGAGAGCTGACGACAGGAAGTGTCTTAATGATTACGATCCAAACCGTGCAGTGTCGCCGGGGGCGATCCGAACCGTAGCAGTGTTACAGGGGGCGACTCAGCGTTTTTCGGTGTTGCTGGGGGCGATCCTACCTGCACAGACAAAAGTCGATGGGAGAAGGAGATGATTTCGTTTACTCTGTTGTAGGAAGAGATTGCTAAGACTCTAATTCTTAAACATTATGATCCGGATCGTCCTCCAAAGGTCGTGGTATATGCTAGCAAATGGGCAGCATCTGCAGCTTTGCTACAGGAACACGATGGAGTATACTGGCCTGTAACGTTAACTATCAGAACGATAAAACCTACCGAGAATAGCTATGGAATAATGTTTAAAGAAGTTTAAGCTCTGTTGCGCATCCTATATATCGGTTACACTATGTTGGTTGCACGAGAGATCTCGATACTCACACGTCATTCAACGTTGGCCTCGCTGGTTCAATCTTCAGGCTTTAATGAGGGGCTGGGAAGATGGGCGGCGTTGCTGTCATTTTGGACGCTAGAGATCGAGAAGTGTAAAAAGAGAGAAGATAAAATACTTGGTACGCTTGCCACCAGCATTGCCCCGCGCGACGATGTTAAAGAGATGTTCATCGCGATCGCCCCGAGGAAACAGCCAAAACATACCATAAGCCTGCCACCACCAACGGTGGAGGAGGGTGAAACTCTTTTGGTAGTCATTTTCGATGGATCGGCCCAAACCAAACAAAAAGGCGGGGCGTATAGTGCAATAGCGTGGAAACTCCCGGATTGGAAGATCGCAAATGTCGCAGCCGAATACGCAAAAGACCTGACAGTGAAAGAAGCAGATCAACGTGGCCTGCTACTGGGTTTTATCTCCTGTCCGATCAGGCGCGGGGGCGCATTATCGTTTGCGGCGATTTTATCCTAGTGATCCGGCAGACGTGCAGAGAATTCGACTGCAAGGCGCCCGGATTACAGCTGCTACGTCACAAAGCTATTAAAAAAACTCCGATCGTTGCCGATTCATGAACTTTTACACATGAAGAGGGACTGGAATCAGATTGCCGATCGACTGGCAAGCAACGCTTTACAACAAAAGAAAGGCACGATGACTGTATCCGACCAAGATCTTCACAATTTATATTCATTGAACCGGTTGGACGAGTTATTGACACCCAAAAGCGTCGATCAGGACGTGAAAATATCTGCTGTTACTAGATCAGCCGTAAGGAGACAACGATCCCCTGAAGTAATGTAAGAGGAAGTTGTTTAGAGGATCAGAATCAAGAGGATCAAGCAAGCCCAGGAAGAAGAGAGTTGGATCGCCAACTTGAAGGAATTCCTGATCGGATACATAACGAATTGACTATTGCAGGAGCAAAGTTATGTGCTCGGATCGCGATCGATTATGAAGTTGACGAAAGCGGACTACTGTCTTTCTGCCCGCGATCGACGGAATGTCCAGATAGCCGCGTGGAATTGATTCGTTTGGTGGTTACGGAACTACTCCATCAAGATTTCCTGCATCTTTATCAAAAAAGTTTGGAGAGCGGAAACTAAGGTATCGGCAGGACGTACCAACATATGTGGTCCAATTTCCACTGGGGAAGACTCTATCGGAGTGTCTAGCGTTACGTGAGAGGATTTGTTGAACGCACGACGGAAAATGGTAAACCTATCTGCGCGGCGAATCGCCGGGGAATGTCAAGCCACCTATTTGTTTCAAATAATCGCTATGGATCACATTCCATCGTTTCCGCGATCTTACAAAGGAAACACTGAGTTGTTGCTGTGGGTAGATCTGTCCTCAGGGTACGTTATCGCCAAGGCGATTTCCTCCAGAACTGCTCAAACGATTGCCGAAATATTCGAAGAGTGTGTCTTTCGAAGATTTGGAGCCAGTGAAGCGATCCGCCATGATCGAGAGCCCGGATTCATGTCCATTTTTTTAGTGTTTAATCGGATCGCGGACCAGACACAGCGTGCTACTATGACATACCGACCCCAGGCGAATGGAACATCAGAAAGAATGGAGCAGACCTTGACGAGGGCGTTCACGATGTATGTTACAGATACGGATCAGAAGAATTAGGACGATTACGCTGAGAGTTTATCGTTCGCCATCAAAGTGGCACAGGATAGCATACGAGGATATACGCCATTCTACCTAATCCACGATTGGGACCCATGATCGACGCTGGAAGCGACTTTGCCTTTGGGAAGCACCAAACGACGGGACCAAGATGTAAGGAGATGGCGCTTCCATATGCGACGTCATTACCAGAGAGCAAGAGAAGCTGTTAACGATCGTCTACTTATTGCGATCCAAGATCGGGCCGATCGACACAACGCTAAGGACAGATCACATGAGAGCGAAGTTTGGATCGCAAGCGTGGCTCCATTTGGATCGAGTGAAAGAAGGATACGCCCGAAAGCTGGCACGTATGTGGCATGACCATTCCGGGCTAGATAACTTATCGGTAGACACGCAGTACGGTTGGAGATCTCGGATATACCGTATCGATCATTTCCGTTGGTACATATATCCAAGCTTGTTCGGGTGAAAACATTTCCTGGGTCGGCCAAATAACTTGTTGAACGTTTAAGAGGCGGATCGCGTAGACTTTGACGAATCCCTGCTGCCGTAGATAGCTGGGAACGCACATTGGATGAAGATAAATTTGAAGTTGAAAAATCTTGGATGTGCGATCGGGCAGACGGACACAATTTGGCAGGGTTCAGCGCCAGTATTTGGTGCAATGGAAGGGATCGGTCGATTCGAATTATGTAGATGAGGTCGATTTGAACTGTGGGGCCTTGCTGAAAAAGTTCGATCGTGATCGAGTCAACAAGAATTGCTTCGAGGTGATGCAATTGCACGAAGCAGCAGTGGATGAAAAACCTGTGTGTCAAATCGGAAGTTGCCTGCAAGAAGGTTGCAGATGGGAACAAAGGGAGGGGTTGTGTGTGGCGGTCCAAGGAATCAAATTCAATTGCAGTGATTAATCAGAAACGGCAAATGAGATGAAGTCGAGTGGTGATCAACAAGGAAGAAAAAGATGGATATACATTGACCGATTAAAACGGACTGTTGGATCGCTATGGACTACTATGAACTTTATTTACCCGAAAAGCGAGCGATCGACGACCCGGGATGATCCTCGATGCACGATCGAAACTGGTTGCGCCAGGGTTCAGCTGTATCTAAACGCGCCAACGCGGAGATCAGGTTGACAATGCATTTCTGAGGATCGTTTAAACCGGGTACCATGGACGCGTCTTGACCTGTGACGGGAGATGCATAACGAACGGATCCAAGAACAGATCCAAATTGCAGTGTCCGTCGATCATCCCTGAAGGATAAAGCGCAATACAATTTTTCTATCGGGGTCCGCATCGGATCGCCGCTGCTTGCGCTGCTGGAAAATTCGCGCCAACTCCCGATCGCTATCGCGCTGCTCGGCCGGCAAATGAATGGCGTGGGGTGCTTCCCACATTGCCTGTCGATGCCGGGTCTCGAAGTCTCAGTACGCGGATGCCAACTCTGCGAACCAGCCAGTCGCGTCAAAGCAAGACCGGTGTGACTTGGCTATGGTAATGGTTTCAAGGCTCCCGCTTAAACAACGCTAACACTTGATACGAAGGAATTTAGCCGTGGAATCCACTCAGATTCAAGCACAGCAGCTTTAAATCGAGGCGCGGTGGGTGCTGGGAAGATGTACTCTGCCGGCCGTGTCAGGTGCTTGAACAAGGTATCCAAGTCCAACTTCGCCACCGAGGTTGGGCTGAGAGTACGAAGTCGACCACGGGTGTACGTGGGGGTGAGACCAGGGTACTCGATTGCGGTATCAAGGAGGCCATTCACCGCGAGGTACCCGGATCGGAGCTACACCGTTGTATTCCGCGGACGGAAGCACGGAATTCCTGACGTCCTGCGCTCTGCCGGTCATGCTGACCGAATCATCGGAGTCGCGTGATGATTCGCCAAAGATATCCACCTTCAAGACTCGGGGCTTGGCACGTGGTGCTGATTTACTCGGAAGTGGAGACGAATTAGACTTGGGGCGGGGGGAGTTTACTGGAATTAGGGCAGGTACAGATCCGGCAGAAGGTGGAAAATTGCTCAACGATCCACGGCGCCGCTACAAAGAGCGCGATCCAGACAAGGCGGCTAGAATATCTTCTACAAAAGATTCGAACGACTTTGTAAAGGAGAGCGATGAAACGCAGATCGAAAGCTTCTGAACGCTTTTGCTTCCTGTTCAAGAGGCGGATCGTTTTCTACCCGCGGTACCTTAAGTTGTTGGAGTCTGTGCTGATTCTGACGTAGCTGTGGACCCGTCCGAGCAAATTAATCTGGAGAGTCGCTTAGAGACGCGTGGTATTCCATCAGATCCAGAAAATTTGGCTGATCGCTCTGGTTTAGAAGATCGCGAACACTCACTGGCTGAATTGGCCTTAGAGGTATCCACCGATTCTGTTCCAGATTGCGTCAGCTATGCAGTGCGGGGACGCTTGATAGGAAGATCGGGATCCGTGGACCTAGGTCGCTTGCCGGTTGGTGCGGTAGCGGAGGCCGTGGACGGTACATTTAAGGGAAGGCGGGGTGATACTGAAGCCAATTGAGCCAGATGAGTCCGGATCGTATCGTGATTGCAAACGGCCTAGTGACACTGCTGTTCCCAGTTCAATGCTTGATAACGCAGACGATCCACTAAGGCTTCTCGGTCCGCGAGGTCTGATCGCAATCATTGCAGCTCCGCCTCTACGAGCTTTTGTTCACGAAGGCAGTCTTGATGGGTCTTCGACATGTCTTCCAACGCCATTCTGGTCGTGTCAAGCTTCTAGTCAACTCTGTGGAAGAATTTGTTGCACTTGGATGCCTTGGCTGCTGCAGCTTATTTGTCGACATCCGAATTCTGTTCCGCAGCAGCCAGGCGCGAAGTCATCGCTTCCACTTGCTGTTGGGCGGCAGACGATTCACGAGTGCGCAGATCCTCGACTTGTGTAAACTTCTTTTCGGCTTCTGAGAGGGCCGACTTGAGTCTTGGACCACTTGATCTAATCTTAAGCGCCGCGCCAGCTCCGTCTGGAACCCGTGCAACCTCTCGATTACATCTTAACGATCCCTTCAATGACTGAGATAACGCTGTTAGACATAGGTTGCCATGCGCAAGGCGACCCCCGAAGTACGATTGCAACTGCATTTGCAGTCGGTCGATCTGCAGTTTCTGGTCCCGACACAACTCCTCCAACGAGTGGTTGTCGGCAACAACCGCGGCATGAAAATCCGGTTGACCGAAGGGTGCTGTGATCCCCGCAATCAAATCAGCACAATTCAACGAGGATGCAGCGCTTACCTGGAACGACGGCAGCACAACTGGCCTTCTAAGGGGTGGACTCGGCGGCGGAGTAGAAGACAGAATTAGGCTATCGGCCTCCAATGTGGGAGGTGCAGGTAATGCAGGAGCCATAAGCGTTGTGGGTGCACCATCCATCGACATTGTATATCAAGCGTCGGTGCAGGAACCGATCGTAAGGAAGCGCGAAGGAAGAATGAAGTAAGTGTGGATTGCACGATACGCCTTTTGTACAAAAATTAGTTTGATTGGTGGAGCGCGTACGGAGATGGGCCCGTTGGCACGGGTGATGGTATCACACGGTTGTGTGACAGGAAAAGACTGTAAAAATTATGCAGAGTAACCCGCTTAACGGTCACGAAGGGGTAAAGGTCAAGTGGAGTGTGTCATGATGATCGAGGTAGATTACGTACCCGCCGTGGATCGCATAACGCGATCCGGTACTCCGCGATCGGGAACTCCGCGATCCGGTTCTCCACAATCCTGAACTCCGCGATCCGTCTCCGCGATCCGGTACTACGCGATCCGGTACCCTACGATCCGGTTTGGACTATCCACTATGGATATCTGCTGTGGACCACAGGATGTAAGAGGTGAATGACATAGACAGCCTATTTAGCGAACAGATATGCATAGTCATCATAAGCTTTAGGTTTGGTTGGTTGACAATAAACAGAATTGAATTTGCAACGTAAAAAAAGACACGCGTCGACTTCTCCCGGGCAGGATCTTCGGCCTCCCGTTGAATAGAGAGTCACCCACGTCTTAAGTGAACTTCTCTTTTGGATTGTTTGGCCAGGCGAAAGGTCAGTTCTCACACTCCTCAACTGCGATGGATGGCAGTGAATCTTACAGTTCAGATTCAAGATCGTGAGACGGCTCAAGTGGTCAGAAGGCTCGCGTATCAAGCATCACCCCTGGCAAATGCGACTCTGGGAGAGCACCCAAGTTACAAGCGATCAAGTGAAGAATTTCCAGCGATCCGCACGTACGTTGACCGGGTGAAGTATTTCCACCCGATCAACACCTATTCCTATGACTGTCAAGTTCAGCTTCAGCTCAAGTCCACCAAGAAAAGCGCAACCCGCCCCATCGACGGGTACATAGGGTGAGCAAGAACAAACAGAACGCGGAATCGGGGTACCCCCTCCGTTAGTCGGTCGTCCGGGCTCCAGTGGAGAGTCGGGATCGTCTCAGAAAATGGGCTATCGCCACTCCACCACACTAGCATGACAGTAATCTACCATGTTTTTCCAAGATGGACTATATTGAAGGAAAATTACACCCTATTAGATAAAGTATATGCGCTGCTCCAAGATTGGCTGATATAAGACATATCACCATAATTTAACACCAGTCGCTGCTGGACGCGCGCAATGAGTGGTAAGCAGTACTTCGTCATAAGACGACGTAGTTTAATTTAGTTAGAAAAAGATTGAATTTATATTGATAGTCAACTCTATTAAATACAGTTCTCTTTTTACCTACATTGATCGGGTCGTTCAAGAACATTAGCTTCCTCTGCACGCACTAGTGTACGTGAAGTTTCGTGGCACCTAGACGAAGGGTGCCCCATTACAGAATCATCTTGCCACGCCCATCACGTCTTAAATTACGAAAGAGAAGCAAAACCTTGATCTCTTCTTCTTATTCAAGATATACGGTCCCGACAACTATGTAACCCTTTGTGTTCACGTTCTTTAACGTCGAGTGGTCGGTGTAACGGGGTGAACTGTTACATAACAATTTGTAAAGAATGTTAATAGAATATTACAATAAGAGTTTTATTCTCAGAATATTGTTACAAGGACAAATGTTCTTTAGCACTAGCGAGTAGCTCCTAATTGGTTGATATAGGCCATTATATCAACCAACGAAGACGCGCCACGACAGACGCACACAATGAGTGGTGAGCAGATAGTTAATTTACACATTTGTATTTAGACATAGTTAGATGAAGATAAATAGTGATTTATTGCAGACATTAACTATTATAAATACAGTTCTACTTTTTACTTTAACCAAGTACTCGCTTCTTCTTACCGTCTTCATCTGCACGTACTAGTGTACGTGAAGTTACGAGGCAGCGCCTCATTCTGTCATCAGAATAAGTAGCTTGTACTGTCACCAGTACAAGCTTCAGGGTGCCCCGTTACACCTGGTAGCACTTCGTAGTCCGTCCAAGGACCACGTTCACATCCAACATGAATATGTTAGATGATGAAGATGACCAAAGCTTTCACGCTACGCGTGACGGCTACTCCCATTTGAGCGATGTCGAATGGGATGCGGTTGAACGGATGGGTTCAACCTTGGGCATCCATGCTGTTAGCGTCATGCTAGAGGCTCTCAATAGAGATGCCCGACATGCTACTATCGCCAAGTTCATTCCAAATGAACTTGACGCAGAACGCGAGAAAGTAGCCTTGCTTTACCAACAAGGTTCTCAACAAGCAGAGTTGTTGAGAGAACAGGGTGCTCAACAGTTTGAACTGTTGAGACAGCAGCAGGCTGCTGCTGGCGGGTCGATGCACTCGCGTCGACCCGAAACCTTGAAGATTGACATCTTCAAGTATAGGGGGATCTAAAAGGACTCCCTCTTGAGATGGTACGTCGAATTGGATGACGCCATAAGGGCGCGTCGCATCGACGACGGGGAAATGCAAGTCGCATTTGCCCAGTCAAATCTGGCAGGACGTGCCAAGACTTGGGCACTGGGGCTCAAGTTGCACGACCCATATGCGTTTGGGTCGTTAAAGTCTTCAAGTCGCGACTCAAATAAACGGTTGAACCGCCTAGAGCTGAGTTCAGAGCTCGAACCGAACTTTTAAAGCTCAAAAAAGGTAAGCGTGATGTGCACGCTTACGCACAACATACATGACATCTCATGAGTTGTATAAGTTCCAATCCGGTGGATGAACACACGTTGGTTTCGGTGTTCGTGCAGGGTCTTGCGGATGGTCCCGTCAAGACTCACCTGTTCCGACTTGAACTAGATTCACTAGAACAAGCCATTTCCATTGCGGAACAGGAAGACTTCAGTCTGAGACAGGCTCGCGCCAGCTCGACATCATATCGTCAACCGAGACGATATGACAACGGAGGTCCAGAGCCGATGGAACTCTGTTATGAAGAGAGCGAGAAGGCTCGCTCTACAGGCTACAAGAAGTTGCAGAGATGCAACAGATGTCAAAAGACAGGACACTACGCTTACGAGTGTAGTGCCCCTCGTCCAGTGTCTCGCGACACTGGGCGTAGTGACCGTCCACCCATGAGAAAGGGGCAGGGACGAGGGTCCGCAGTTGGTGCAAAGACGCAACAACGGGATGGACCGTCAAAAAAACGGACAGGATCAGTAGGTGCGGAGCACCCTACTGATCCAGCAACGCCAATAGAATTTGTAGGCCTCTTGATGAAGGTTGCTCCCAACACATAAACGTTGTGCGTTGCTGCTCTAGGTAATGAGGTCTCACTCATTACCTTGAAACTCGAAGTGACGAATAAGTTGTCCCTTCGAGCTCTTGGCGATTGTGGGGCGTCCAACAATTTTGCGCAACGCAAATCGCTAGAAGATGTTCACTTAAAGTTTGTTGAATGTGACACACCTCCTACGAGGATGACGGTACGTCTTGCGACAGGCGCATCCGTAACCGTCATGAAGCGTATAGTGAAGATTCACTATACCCTAGAAGATACCCAATATGACGATGACTTTATCGTATTGGATTTAGATGACAAATCTGATGTCATCCTTGGAATACCGTGGCTCAGAAGGTACGAACCACGGGTAAACTGGCAACATTGAACAGTAACGATGCCTGCCGCTTGTTCATCAGATGGCCATCTGATGAACGTTTTGGAGCGTCCACAAGCGTGTGGATGTACTACGAGTGAGTGCGATGGCCTCACTTGTGGTACGGTCGTTAGTACGACTGCACAAAACCTTAGTGTAACAAACAGTTACACTTCGGAGCAAAGTTCCGGCGGCTGTGAGGGAACACAAGCTGCACCGAAGGTCCACCACTCGAATAAGTCGAGTGGACCGGGACAAAGATGTATCCCTAGCGGTTAACATCTAGAAGAGAAACCATCGATCGCTCAGGTTAAGCGAAACGATAATCCCAGATCGACTGGAGAGTCTTTCGTAGAGGATCTCGCTGTGGTTGCGCAACCCCAGCTACAGGAAGTAAAGGGAATAAGTCCCAAGATTACAAAACGGCGGAAATAAGTTCCCCGAAACCCGCGGGAATAAGTCCCCGGGAAGCCGAAGGAGTAAGTCCTTCGAGGCCTGAGGGAACAAGTCCCCAGGAAATGACAGAGACATTGAAGTCATAGTCAATAACGGATCAAGCGTAGGCGCTTATACACTTGATCTGATTGCGCCTCCGAAGTTGACTTCGGAGATCACTCAGTTGCCAACGCTCGAATATAAAAGGTTCTTGCGTGATCTGCGTAGTGGCAAAGTCAAGCAGATCTTCGTACTCGTCGCTGAAGACGAGTGTGTAACCGACATAAGGTCAGCAACAGTGTTTACTGAGAACGAGAGAGTTCTCAGTAGTTCATCTATGGACGAGAGTGTCCTCGATGAAAAGACACGAGTTGAGCGATATGACTCCCAATCGTGGGAATCGCTCAAGACAAATTCTCTCTACGAAAATTTTGTTGAATTCAAGGATGTATTCTCTGAAACTGTTCCGTGCGAATTACCGAAGGATAAAGGTATTCGACACGAGGTCGAGCTTAAACCAGGCTCGAAGTACTGTGTCATGAAGCAGTGGCCACTGCCTCGTGAACAAGTATTTGTGATCGACAAGTTCTTTGCCGATCGTTTAGCTGCGGGCCATATGAGGGAATCAACTTCCCCACATAGCTCTCCGACATTCTGTGTGCGAAAAGCAACAGGAGGGTGGTGGATTGTGCATGCATTTAACAAGTTGAATGCTGCAACGGTACCGTCTCAGACGCCGATACCAAGGAAGGACGTAATCGTTGATGGTATGTCAAAGAGTACCATCTTTTCGTCCATGGATTTGATGGATGGCTTCTATCAAATCCTTATGCGGGAACGGGATATACCCTATACCGCAGTTAGCACGCCTAGCGGCATGCTCTGGGAATGGCTAGTAATGCCACAAGGGCTTAGTAATGCCCCTGCCACGTTCAACAGATGTGATACACATCTGTTGAGACCAGCACGAGAATTCGCGCCGAGTTATTTCGATGACGTATTGATCCATAGTCGAGCTAAGGATGGAAAGTCGGACGTTGAGGTTCACAGGTACCACGTCTAACAGGTTCTTACAATCATGCGAAAGCATCAATTGTATGCAAACCTCAAGAAGTGTACATTTGCAGCAAGCGAAATACCACTTCTTGGGTGCACCGTTGGTAAGAACGGTGTACGTCCTGATCCCGAAAAGATCAAGGCGATCACCGACTGGCCTGTGCCGGTTGATGTCAAAGGTCTTCGAAAATTCCTTGGGCTAGCGACGTATTTGCATAAGTATTCAAGCAATTACGCCGAGATGACTGTACACCTCTCTCGTTTGTTGAAAAAGAACGAGAGGTGGTTATGGAACGCTGAATGTCAGCGCTCCGTTGATGGTATCAAGCAGAGCTTGATACAATCCCCAGTCCTAGCAATTGCCGATCAGGACAGGCCATTTCATGTGGTCTGTGATGCCAGCGATTTCGCAATCGTCTGTGCATTAATGCAGTACGATCTTGAAGGCGTTGAACGCGTCGTCTGCTATCAGTCGCGTCAGCTGCAACCAGCTGAGCGGAACTATCCAGTGCATGACAATGAACTACTTGCCTTGAACTATGCACTCGCGAAGCTCAGAGTCTATCTATTAGGAGATAGACCCTTCATTGTTTACACTGACCATGCGTCATTACGCACGGTATTGAACAGCCCGCACCTTTCACAACGAATGGCGCGGTGGTTGTCATTCTTTGCAGAGTACAACTTCACGGTCGAGTACAAATCAGGACGACTTAATGTCGTCGCTGATGTAATCTCACGTCGGCCCGACTTTGGACCAGTCGTGCAACCCAACAGTGAGACAGCCACTGTTGCGGTTATGACGTCCTCAGTACCATATTCAACGTTACATATGATGTGAGGCGGGAGTATGCCCAAGATGGTGAGATTGCGAAGTTGTTGACACATCTCGCACAAACATCTCGATAAACGTTGAAACGATTGTCGTCTGCGTATCGATCTGCATCAGATCGATACACTTCTCGCAACGGTTTGCTGTATTACGCAGCCGTTTCTGGTGACACACCACGTGTTGTCATTCCAGATGATACTGATCTGCGTTTGCGGATCATGTTCGAGTATCACGATGCTCCTATAGTAGGACATCGTGGCCGTGAGAAAACACATCTCACTGTGAGTCGAGACTTTTTCTGGCCCCGCCAGTATCAGTTTGTGCGCAAGTATGTTCGTGCATGCGAAGTCTGTCAACGAGTGAAGTCAAGTCCTTCACTGCGTGCACCTTTACAGCCTCTACCGGTTCCGGATGAGTGCTGGGAATCCATCTCAATGGATTTCGTTTTCGGGTTACCCAAAGACGCACGCGGGAATACGGGTATTCTCGTATTTGTTGACAGATTCAGCAAAATGGTACACCTTGTGGCTGTACCAGAGACAATCACGGCAAGTGGCTGTGCTTGTGTCTTTATCTACACCATCTTTCGACTTCATGGGTTGCCCCGTGAACTCGTATCAGACAGAGATCCACGCTTCACAGCTGATTTCTGGCGTTCCGTGTTCAAATCACTCGGAACGCGCTTGAAGATGTCTACATCTGATCATCCAGAGTCAGATGGTCAGACGGAACGTGCCAACTGTGTCCTCGAAGAGATACTTCGAGGATACGTACACTCCTTTAAGAGTTGGAGTGAGTTCTTGCCAATGGTAGAGTTTGCCATTAACAACTCGGTGCATGCGTCCACGACACATACACCGTTTTACGTGAATGGCTTTCGCCATCCGCGTGTACCTAACTTACTCGAGTGTGACTCTGGTTTAAGGGGGGAGGGACTCGCGCGAGCAAATACCGATTTGGTTCACGCTCATCACGCTCTGACGAAGAGGTCATTGCGTTTGATGCTGATATCGACAACATCGGTATCGAAGATGGTGATGCCAGTGAGAGCGAGGAAGCCCTCACTGAAGAAAAGATTGATGTTGCTGCAGTGCACTCACAGCGCACTGAAGCTAACGAGTCATCAGATGAGATCATACTGGCTCGTGAAACGGTAGTCCGTTTTGTGCAAGACTCTATCGCCGAAGCGATAGATAAGCAAAAGCAAAACGCTGACAAGAATGGAAGGGCAAACACTCTTTTATTTAATAAAGGTGACTTAGTCCTACTGTCTACGGTTAATCTACCAAAGCATGTAGTGACTAACTTGGGTAGCAGTAAACTACTACCCAAGTACATCGGCCCATTTCGTGTATTGCGTCGCCTAGGAAATGCACACACGATCGAGGTGCCACGTAAGATGCGAACGCATCCCGCGTTTTACGTTGGTAGGCTTAAGCCGTACCATCAGTACGCTGCTTCTTCCGATGAAG